TCATGAAAAGATTAATTATAGTGTTATTATAGAGAAAACACGTTACTTTTTTTTTAAGTTTCAAAAAATACTTAGACAGCATTATATTTTGAAGCTTTTCATGTTAGAAAATATATCTGCAAGCAAGATATATTAAAACAAGTTGTGAAACAACCCACCACGAGTAAAATTGGAAATAAAAACATTAATTCATGACGTTCATAATTTGTAGTATGTGAACTAGGGCTGGGACAGAGCGAAGATCCGAAAAAAAAGCAGTATTTATGATTTGATTTGTTTTTGTCGGATATCTAATTTGCTTTGCTTCGAACAATTTTGGATATCCGGAATTACGGAGATCCGGATATTTGCGGATATTCACGGATATCCGTTTTAAAAAAATATAATAATCAAAATATCATATTTTTTATATAAATTTTATTTTTAGTATATTTGAACTAACTAATGAATAAATATATGAAATTATCTAAATTTTATTCGATATAACTAAAAAAAATAGAAGATTAAAATGGTGAAAAATAAAACATATATTTTTATTAAAAAAAGGTTAAGAAGTAAAATATATTTTCATTAAAAAACTAGTATCTATCTATTTCTACTATAATAAACTTCATATTTTATATCTAAAATTATAAAATAATTAAATATCAATATGAATATTTTTTACAATTTACGTAAAATTAATGTTTAATTTAAATATCCAAATTCACTATTGAAACTAACAAAAAAACAATATTGATCTAAGATCTATTTGATTAAAGGATATTTAATTAAAATGCAAACACAAACCATACAATATTATTCACAGTAGATACTGTTATTCAAAAGTAGAATAATTCAATTGGATCTAACCAAATGGATATTGAACACAACTAATCACAATATGTTGTATTTTGTTTTGTCAAATTTTCAAGTTTTAAAAGAATCTATACATAGTAGTAGTAGCTTGGTGCAATGTGTTAACGACAAAGTCGACACTACAACATCAATAGAAATGGAGAAACTTTTAGAAACGATAAAATTTTACTTGGTTATTACGATATAAAATTGGATCTAATGACCAATTCAATTGTTTTGTTGATAATTGAATTGTAAATGAAGTTGATATAAT